CATTATATAAATATATACACAATATTACATACACATAGGTACACACACTCATAGACACACATTTTAATCATGTAACATTTTTTTGCTGAGTAATTCATTGATGGGTATATCAAAATGTGTTTTATCAATTCACTCGTTGAAGGACATTTGGGTTTTTTTTTTCCCCAGTGTTGGCCTATTACAAATTAAGCTGCTGTGAACATTTGTGTACAAATCTATATACAGACAGTGCTATTTTTTTTCTCTTGGGTATATATACCTAGGAAGTGGAATGGCTGGATTTTATGGTAGGTGTATGTTTAACTTTTAAAGAAATTGTCAGTTTTCCAAAGTGCTTCTATCATTTCAATTCCAACAGCAGTGTATGAGGGTTCTATTTCTTCCACATCCTTGCCAAAACTTGCTTTGATCAATCTTTTTAGTTTTAGTCATTCTGATAGGTGCATAGTGGTACCTCAGTGTGATTTTATTTTAATTTAAAGTTTTTGTTTATTTAGGTAATCTCTACACCCAATGTGGGGCTCTTCCACTGAGCCAGCCAGGTGCCCCCTTTGTTGTGATTTTAAATTAAATTATCCTACTGACAAATGATGATGAATATCTTTTCATGTCCCTATTTTCCGCTGGTGTGTCTTCTTTGGTGAACTGTTGGTTTAAATCTTTTGCCTACTCTGTTGGTTTGTTTGTGTTTTGAGAATTCTTTCCATTAAATTTTAACATGCACAGGAGGTTAAACCTAATCAAGATCTCTTGTTTACCTCTTCTAAATAAAACCCTGACCTTGCCCTCCCTGTTTTAGGTTTTTGGTCTTTGGAATTTGAATTCCACTTTGTTTTATTTGTCCATTTGTCCATTTCCTCCCCTCCTGTCCACCCCATCTCTCACATGGGGAGTTGTTTGCTCAGATCTTTTAACTCATTTATTGTATATGTATCTTCTGTGGGTGTTGTTTTCTCCTGGGTAATTGCATGTGTCCTACTTGTGAAAGTATCCCTGGGTCTGATTCTGGTGAGATCCCAGGGGTTTCAATGGTCTTGAATCAGATCTGGTGTTAATTTCTCTCTTTGTGGCTCCCATACAGGGCAGATAAGATAAATTTAGGTCACATCTCTGGTGTACACTGGGAGTGTGGTTTCTCCCAGCTGTCTTTTTATTTCTTTCTATGTAAGGCTTCAGGAAAAGCATGAGCTTCTTTGAGGGCTCCTTGGTCTACAGGCTGGGGATTTTTCTGATTTCCTTAGAATGGAAGGGGCAGATCTGGAGGAATCTAGGCTTCATGAGGGTGTCCTCTGTCCAAACTCCCACCACCTATGGGCCAGTAACATGTCAGCAGTCCCTGTGTATTCGAATCCCAGACCCAGCCCCTGGAGTGTCTGTCTGTTTGGATTTTAAGAAGCTTCAAATATGGGTGCCTGGGTGGCTCAGTCAGTTGTGTGTCTGACTTCGGCTCAGGTCCTGATCTCACAGTTTGTGGGTTTGAGCCTCACGTTGGGCTCTGTGCCAACAGCTCAGAGCCTGGAGCCTGCTTTAGATTCTGTGTCTCCCTCTTTCTCTGCCCCTCCCCTGCTCATGGTCTGTCTCTCTGTCTCTCAAAAATAAAGAAATATTTTAAAAAATGTTTTAAAAGCTTCAAAAATATATCATTCCTCTCTTCCCCACCCCTGCTCTTTTTTTTCTTTACAAGTTTTTAAAAATGTTCTTATTTATTTCTGAGAGCGAGATAGACAGCGTGAGCAGGGGGGCAGAGAGAGAGGGAGATACAGAATCTGAAGCAGGCTCCAGGCTCTGAGCTAGCTGTCAGCACAGAGCCCGATGTGGGGCTCGAACTCAAAAGTCATGAGATCATGACTTGAGCCAAAGCTGAGGCTTAACAGACTGAACCACTGACTGAGCCACCTGGGCAGCCCTCCCCACCCCTGTTTCTAAATCCATTTAGATAAGCTGCTGAAGTCTGGCAATGGAAATTAGCATTTCATCTGTATTACAATGAAGGAGTTTATAGAAAAGAGGCAACAAAAGAATTACAACACTGTGCCTGAAACCAAACTTGCCCACCAGGCACAGACAGCAGAAAAAAGTCTCTAGTCCAGTACCACAGCCTACATTCTGGAGTTTACTATATAACCTATGGCAGATGAGAATGCGTATTTTCTTTCTTTCTTTCTTTTTTTCTTTTTCTTTTTTTTTTTTGAGAATGTGTATTTTCTACAAGTAGCAAGGTGCCAGAAAGGAGGAGCCAGACTGGGTTGATCTAGGCATGCCCAATAGTTCCTGTTCTCAAATTCATCATCCTTCTGGTCTTGAGAAGATTTAAATCACCCTTCTTCTCCTGAGAAGGAGAGTGTGAATGAGTAAGGCCAGAAGGATTACTCTCTAAAGGAAGGAAGTTCCTCCACAGAGAACTCCTCCCATGAACTAGAGTAGTAAGGGGGAGGGGAGTAGTCAATCCTTTCTAAAGATATCTGGTGTGCTTGTGTCTCTGGCTTTCATTCTCTCTTCCCTTTCTGAAATCTGGTGCATACTCTTTCTTTATTTTCAGCTAAACTCTACATTTAAGACTATTTTGGTGTATTTTCCTCAGATTTCCCAAGTCTGAGGCCAGGAGTTTCAGCTGTCTCATTGCTGTAAATTCCTCTAGAGAGTGTTTTCACAAAGGAAACAGGATGGCCTATTAAAATAGGCAAGCCCTAAAGGAGAACAGGCTGTTCTAGACCTCTCTCCAAGCCTTTTCTAGGTTTCTCTGAGGTTGCACAAAATAAAAGCTGTTTGCTAATATGATTCTTTCCTTCATGAACTGTAATAAAGTAAACATGTATAAATCTCAACATACCCAAATGTAGGTGTTATTTACCTTCCGAGTTTAGTAGATAAACATACTTTTAAATATATGCAGTACATGCAATTTGAATTTTGGGCCTTATATCTCCAATCTTGCACAATACCATTTACACTCTCATCTTGTTTTCGTTAATCTGTTGTTATATATCGATGAAGCTGCAGCTTCATCAAAGCACACCTAATAGGATTCCTTGAAGATGTTTGAAAATACTTTGTAGCTAATGGGTTTTGATGAAATTGCTTTCCTCAAGCAGTTGAATTTTAGTTTAAACATAATACAGTTTTGGGGCACCTGGGTGACTCAGTTGGTTAAACCTCTGGCTTTGGCTCAGGTCAAGATCTCGCAGTTCCTGAGTTCAAGCCGCATATCGAGCTCTGTGCTGACTGCTCAGAGCCTGGAGCCTGCTTCAGATTCTGTCTCCCTCTCTCTCTCTGCCACTTCCCCACTCATGCTCTCTCAAAAATAAATAAACATTAAAAAATATATAAATATATAATACAGTTTGTATAAAGAAGAGAGAACTTTAAAGGCATTACAAAAATAGTAGGAAAATGTCTTTAATTTCTTGTGCATTTTGTCTAGAACCATCCTCATAGAACAAAACAGAACCAGCACATAATTGAACAAAACAGTAACTTATCTGCGCTGCAAGATCTGACCTTATTTCTCCTGCTGGAAATCTGCATGAACATAGAGTGTTATTCCGAGAGACACAGAGACCAACCAGGAGTACTGAAGCCGAATTAAGGGAGTCTTTATTACCGGCTGTGACCGCACAGAGTTAACACAGAACTCTAAATGCGTGGCTCAGCGTCCAAGGACTCAGGGCTTTTTATAATGAGCAAGCAGGCAAGTGGGCAGTACAGAAGCAGAAGTGAGCAGTTATTGTAAAAATGCTACAAAGCAATAAAGAGAGCTGCCCTTATCCTGGTATGTAGGACAACATTTATTCTGAAGGCAAGGTTTAGGGTCATAGGGGAGTCTCAAAGGAATAGTTATTACCTCCAGGACAGAGTATGCCAGCTGTGTCCTAAATAACCATTAACAGGGACCATTAACCCTTATCGTTTTACTTATTTTTCCCCCCTTGCACCTGAGGATAGTTATGTAGCCCTCCGAGTGTAGACCCAAAAGGTAAACTCTGGGTCAAGATGGAAGGACTGAGGCTAAATTCACGTGCAACAGAGTTTGCCATCAATTTCAAGGCTTTACATTGAGAAGGAAAAACCTTTCAATATAATAATGTAAAATACGTGGGAATTTTTATTGAACATGTATTTATGTTGACAGACACTGTGCAAACATGTTCTGTGTTTATTTTACGCAGTCACCTACTCAGTTCTCACTGGTTACCCAACTCTTACCCCATTTTAAGGATTAGGAAACATGGGTTTTCAGAGTTTATGACATAAATGTGGTGTGACATTTTTTTATGTTTCAACTATCTACTTCATTCAAAGCAAAGTACAGGGGGCTGGTGGGACACATAGTAATACCCAAAGGACCTGAAGGAACAAAAAGATCTTTGAGTTGCACAAAGATCTGAATTACGCAAGCTGCAGAAATCCTCGGTGGATACCATGGTAGCTTTTAGATCATCCTTCACCCTCCACGGGGGCAAATTACCTTGTAGATGGATTAGGTTATTTAATCATTTTTGTGCCATGGACCTCTTCTTGGGGAATCCCATGCACCCCTTCTTGGAATAATGTTTTGAAATGCATAACAGAAAGAATAGAAATGACATTGAACAGCATTCAGTTCTAGCATTTGATCCCTGAGATTTTCAAGCATTTCTGCTCTGTCCATCTCACCTCCCAAGTGTACCAATCCCCTCATCGAGTTTCCCTTCCTTCTTCAGAGAAGGTAAAGGAGGGACAGCCAAGCGGGTTTGGGGGGGTGGTACAGGGGTGGGGAGGAGGATGAGATGGGGTAAGGAGGGGTTTCTGAGATGACATTAGTTTCTTCCTTCACCTTCTGTCTACAAGCCTCCTCACTTTCCTGGCCCTTCAATCTTCCCCAAGATGAAGTCCAGTTTTTTTCTGGCTTTAGTTCTCTTCCATCCCAGCCCGCCTGGTTCAGCCCCGCCCACCTCGCTAAGCCCGCCCCGCACTGGACACGCCCCCCTAGGCTCCTCCTCCGCCATAAGTTTCACCAGCTCCCCCTCGCACCTCTGCTCCCTGCCAATCACGCTGACCCTCCCGGCCCGCCCCGGAGCGCGCACCCGCGGGTCCGCGGCTTCGCCCGGCAGGAAAGATGGAGCGTGGAGCGGCCGGCGGCTTCTCAGAGGAGCAGTTCCGGGAGGCCTGCGCGGAGATCCAGCAGCGCGCGCCGGCAGGCGCCCACTGGGAGCTGCTGGTGGAGACCCTGGGCTTCAGCATCTACGGGCTGCTGGACCAGGTAGCGGCCTGCCCGCTGGACGACCCTGGGCTGTCGCTTGCCGGGGCCGACCTCCCCAGGGGAGCCCGGGGCAGCCGCCTAGGAAGGAAGTCAGGGCCAGAGTCGGTCACGCGGAGCTGGGTGGAGCGAGCGCAGGGGCAGGCTGCTGACTTTGCCCCTGCGGTCGGGAGGTCATCCGAATTGAGCCCAAGTCTGAGGCCCAGGGCGGAAGTGGTTTGTTGGAGGCTAATGATAGAGTTAAAATGCGGGTCTGCAGAGTCTGAGCCGCATGCACTTGCCTGGTAGGGCTGTGGATCCCTCTCCTGGGTAGTTCCCACTGTTGTGTGTGTTAGTGGGTTGGGGAGAAGCCCAGGGTTTGCCTACAGGTGGAAAGAAGACTGCCCTGTTCAGAGACTGGATGTGCAGGGAGATAGTGTGCTTGTGGAGCAACGTGGCTGGGAAGGGAGATACTAGCATATCTACTGCATGCATATTGCTTTTGTGCCTTGGTAAAGTCAAAAAGTAAAAGTTACACTGTCAAGTTGTTGACTATCGAACTGCATGAAGGCTTTTGCCTCAACCCCATCAACATTCTGTTTCTTTTTTTTTTAATTTTTATTTATTTTATTATTAATTTTTTTTAATGTTTATTTTTGAGAGTGAGAGAGAACGAACGAGTGTGGGAAGGGCGGAGAGAGAGACAGACACAGAATCCAAAGCAGGCTCCGGGCTCTGAGCTGTTAGCACAGAGCTTGACCTGGGACTCATGAGTGCAAGATCACGACCTGAGCCGAAGTCATCTGCTTAACCGACTGAGCCACCCAGGTGCCCCAATGCTTGTTTATTTTTCAGAGAGAGAGAGAGAGATAGCGCGAGCAGGGGAAAGGCAGAGAGAGAGGGAGACACAGAATCTGAAGTAGGCTCCAGGCACCGAGCTGTTAGATCAGAGCTTGACTTGGGGCTTGATTTCAAGAAAGTGTATTCATGACCTGAGCCAACGATCAACAGACTGAGCCATCCAGATTACTCTCCTTCTTCCTGTATCTCAATACCATCTAAAGATTTCCACTCTATTGAGATGAGTGAACTAGTTAGGTCCCAACTTGTATTCCCAGCTTTATCTTCCATATCTCATCTGTACATGTCTTGTTTCCAGCCAACCCAGACCACTCTACCCTTTACTCCAGTGGGCCTGTGCTCTTTTGCTTTTGTGCTTGTGAGCTGAGACAGTGACTGGCTTGTATTGTGTATTGTTATGTTGCAGAGTCTGCCCTCCCCCTCCCCCCTGCTGTGGGGAGGCCATGTATGGTATTCAGAAGAGTTCCTGTCCCTACTAACAATACTGTATGTCTCATTTCAACCTGTTCTAGGGACATGGGGTGTCATGTTGCTCCCAGATAACTTCTCTAGGTTTAAAGGGCCATGGGATTCCCGTAGGTGTGCCCTCGAGCCTCAGCAGCTAGGGTGGAAGGCCTTTGCTCCATGGACACTTTGTTTGTTCTCCATCTGCATTAAAATGTCAAGAGGCCCTATTGGGTTAGTGTATGAACCCTTTCCTAGAACCCTTCATGGGTTCTAGCCTTATCCAGCATTATTTGCTGCCTGGCCCACTAGGCTAGAGCCTCATTTTCTTTCCACTTTGACTCCATGTTTTGTCTTCTTCCTGGAAGAGAATTCTGTAATTTCCAGTTAGTAAATCTTTCCATCTGAATACCACACCTTATCAAAAGTGAATTCATCTTGTCCCACACTCTGTATAGACCTGCATCTATCTGCCCCAAAAGCCCTTTTCAGTCTTGCGGGCCAGTGGTGTTTAATCCACCCTGCCTGTTATCATTATGTGTCTTTTCTTCCACCCACCCAAACCATTAGTGCCTATGGCCTTGGGTCCCCAGGTCTCAACTAGGAGTCAGACCAGAAGACCTTGGTCCCTCTGTCAGTCTTCATCTTGGTTAATCTACTTGACCATTGAGGCAGGTGAATCCTGGTGAGGGTCAGCATTGCAGTCTTTGCTTTCTGGGTTTTGAAATTCCAATAATTGGGGTAAACAGAGTGGCCTTGTTTGGATCCCTTTAATTTTGAAGGGCCAACAGGGGGTCCCATTGATCCATCTAACTTTAGATAGTGCTACTTTTGTCTCAACCCCATCAATAACTGCTGCATTCATCCTGCTTCTTAATTACCATCTAAACATTTCCACTCTGTTGAGATGAGTGCCCTGATTCTCCCCTCTGTCTTACTCTAATTTTTCTTGGGATCTGTAAGACCCATGTAAGGAATACTGACACAGGTACTCTGGTAAGTCGATTGGTTTGTTGGGATTGCTTGAGTTTTGCAGCAGTAAGCTTACATGTAGTACCCATGCAAAAGGGACCCTCTCTATCAAAGTATTTACCATGATTTGGGTAAGGAGCATATTTCATTGGTGAATATCTCCATCATGATAAAGCCAGGCCAACATGACTTGCATATAAAGCATATTAGTGGCTTCATGGTTTGGTGTGGGGTGGGGAAAAGCAGGTAACACTAGGAGTTGTTATGATAGGAAGAATCGGACAGCCACCCTTCTCAGGGTAAACAGATTTTGCCGGAGCTTTTATCCACTCTACCAGGTTGACTGTTCCTTTGGGAACAACCTGCTGTGTCTGGATCATGTATAGCCATTTATGTTGGTCCATCGTGAACTGTGACGATGATCTATTATTGCATGTTTTGGAAAGATTGAAGTATAAAGGCATTTTAGTTATCCAGTGTAACAAATAAATTATATTTTAAAATTAAAAAAAGATTGTAGCTCTTTTTTTTTCAGTAGACAAATAGTTTGGAGTCATATTCTTGGATAGATGGCCACTTTTGATATACAGTATTTTGATACTTTTTCATTTTCTCTTTTTCTATTAAATCACAGAATTTTTCAACTTTGAAAGTTTCATTGAAATCATTCTGTCCAATGCCATCATCTGTTTCATTCACTTCTTATATCTACTTCCTTTGCCTGCTCTGTTTCCTTCCTCTCCTCTTCTCTTTTTTCCTCCCCAGGTTGTAATGTCAGTAACTTACCACTACATGGTGATTTAGTTTACAAACTGCACATGTAAGTTTCCTTTATCCCTGTAAACAAATCTGTAATATAGGTAGGGACAGGCTAATTTTCCTATTTGACAGATGGAAACAAAACCTAGAGTTGTTAAGTGAATCACACAAGACCTCATAACTAGTAACTAGACATGACTACTTTGATAAGCTCAGCACCAAATATACAGCTTGCTTCAAAGCAAGAATTACTTTTTCTTTCTGGAGGCTAAGCAAAACTAGCCCAGAACAGCCACGTGGTATTATGGGAAGAACATGGGTTTTGGAGGCACACAATCCTGGGTTAAAATCTCCATTCTGCCCATTATCATTTTTTTTTTTTTTATTCAGAGAATATTCATCAAGTGCCTCCCATGAGCTATTGCCCTCACAGGCACTGGGGATAAACAATGAATGGAAAGATGCGCCACTGTTCCAATAAATGAGTTCTTGAACAATGAATGACATTCACTAATGAGAATAAACCCATAGTATACAATGATACATTGGGTGAAAAATGCTATGAAGACAGTAAAGTGGGGAAAAGGGATAGAGAGATGGTATGGCAGTGGTGGCCAGGGGTGATGTGATAGATACAGGAATCCAGAGATCCCCTCTCCTGAGGTAACATTTGAGTGGAGACAGAAATGAAGTGAGAGATTGCATCATGCAAATACCTGGAGGAGAAATGTACCAGAGAGTATTTTTCAAAGCTCAAGCACATTAGGATCACCTGGGGAGCTATTAAGACATGACCAAGCCCTACTGTAGAATCCCAGAATTAATTGATCTGGGGTGAGGCTTGGGGAGTCCTTTGAAAAACTCCCCTTTCATTATAGGGGTTGATCATTCTGTTGTCTCCACTTTTGTGTATGTTTGAAATGCTTCATAATAAAATGGTTTGTTGTTTTTGTTTTCAATGGTAAAGCTTCCCATGAGATTCAAATGGACTTGCTGGGTTTTAAATCACTGTAGTAGAGCGAACACTGAGTGCAAAGTCCCAGAGTCAGGCTAAGCTTGCCTTGTTTTCCAGGAAGAGCCAGAAGGATACAGGACTGGGGTGAAGCTAGGGTTGCAGAGTAGCCAGGGGCAAGCCCCACTTATTAGCTGGGTGATATTAGTCAGCTAATATCTGACTATTAATCAGTCAGATATCTTTTCATTTTGAAATCTCAGCTTCCTCGTTTTCAAAACAAGGATAATATTTACCTTTCAGAATTACAGACCTCTCAAAAATCATCAAATGAAATGGTATGTGGCACAACACAATGATTCTCGAACTTCAGCATGCATCAGAATCACCCACAGGGTTTGTTAAAATTCAGAAACAAGACCCCACTCCCAGTTTCTGATTCAGTGGACTGGAGTGGGGCCTGAAAGTTTGCATTGTATTTCTTTTTGTTTGTGTGTTATTTCTAACCAGTTGCCAAGTGACGCTGAAGCTACCAGTCCAGGGACAATACTCTGAGTACCACCGATATGTGGGGAGCATCTATCATGGTGCTGAGAGTCAGTGTTCTGACATTGCTAAGGGGGAGGATCTAACATGGTGCTGGGGGGTGGGGTTCTGACACTGAGAGGGGGCAGCGTCCTAGAAAAGCATCGGAAACTGAAAGTTAAGAGTGAGAAAAAAGAATATCTTAAGATAAAAGCAAGACCATTTGAAGACTCACTCTTACTGATTTTTAAGTTAGCGGCCACCTTAGTAGTGAATATTGACTTCTGAGCTGTGCTGAGAAGTCCCCCTGGTAGAGAGGGGCCACAGGTCACTTATAAAAGCATTCCCAGTGATCTGCATTCAGGTCTCCTTGGAGTTTTGGGCTACATCACTATGCCAGTAGACACTGTGACATGCCTACAAAGAGTGTGAAATCAGTGAGCAGAGCTTTTCATCCTCAATTTAGACCAAGTAAATAGTGTCTGAGCTGATGTGGTTAACTGCTTGACTT